GGGAAAAAGGATTAGGGTAGGTTAGAATAGTTTTATATACGTAATAAGCCAAAGGGCTTATAACATGAATAGAAGAGGGAGCAGAGAGTGGCATGGAGGAGAGAGAGAGAAGAAGGGAGATTCGGCTAGAAAAAAGAAGGAGAATGGAGAGAGAAATCTGGCCACCACCTTGGGGAACAACGATAGCACATCGTTACCGTAGTTATAGAAGTATTTCGGGCTATTTTAGAAGTGATATTTGTTAGGGTTTCAATCTGAAATCCTTAAGGCAAGTTATTTTCTATTCTTCCCCTTTGACTTTGATAATTCACCATCACATGCTACACTTTAGGACTGAATTAAAGGATTAAAATCATAATTTAAATGACTAGGAAACATAGAATTTATTGCCTGAAAGTTTGGTGTATGTGCTGATATATATATGCTAATGTGCTGGTGTTAATGCTGAAATTTCTTGTTTAATTTATCTGTTTTGATGTTTAGATTTATGAATTATGTGTTATATAATTATTGGGTACTATTGGGACAAAGTTATTGTGAGAATGGGTGTACTACAGAGCACTGGTAAACCGGAGATGGAACACCACCATCTAACGAGGTTAAGTAGTTTAATGAGATTCACTATGTCAGGATACTTTTTGCACCAATTTTCCTTGCACAACTTTGCTATGTGATAGGATTCCTTATTAGTAAGCTCATAAAACTCTCTTATATCTAAAGCCATGGTTGTCGAGGTCTTCCCATAAATTAAAGGCATATAGAGCAGTGTGACTATTTTTCTACTGAGCCTAGATTCTATGAATCTATATTGGTTAAATTTTGCGAATTCAAGAAGAATAGACGCACGTCTTTCAAAGACGCATAGATGTGCACCATGCCACTATAACGCGTAGATTTGTTGTCCTAAATTTATTAGGATAACGTTTCATAAATTTAATAATTGGAGATATTTATATTTAATTATTTTGCCCAATTATTTGGATAACTTAGTATTGGTTACATGTTAAATTACTATATAAAAACAGATATTATTGTATAATGTGTAACGTATTAGATAACATTTGTTTTAACCACTTTTGTTCTAGTGGTTGGTAAGTTTTACCAACGTTGTTTCCTAAATAAAATAATTGGATATATTTATACTTAATTATTTTGCCCAATTATTTGGATAACTTAGTATTGGTTTGGTGTGGTTAGTCAGTTTTAGTCATTTCCTAAATTAAATAATTGGATATATTTATATTTAATTATTTTGCCCAATTATTTGGATAACTTAATATTGGTTATGTGTTAAATTACTATATAAAAACAGATATTATTCTATAATGTGTAACATGTTACATTGCGTTTGTTTTAACCACTTTTGGTCTAGTGGTGGGTTGGTTTTACACTTTAGTGGAAAGTGGGAAAAATGTTTTATTAGCTCATTTGGTGGTGTACGTGTTATAAGTTACTTCACATTGATTTATAAAGGAAATTAATTCAACTAAATAAGTTGCAAATTAATTTGGGTTAATGTTTTAACTGTGCATTAAATTTTATAATATGTTTTTATGATTTTAAGCATATGTATTATTATTGATGTGATCTTATACATGATCTATATCATGTTTAGTATATGAGCTATTCAT